GACTCCATTATCTATAGAAAGCCCGCCATGGAGTTGTGCGTGTGAGTACATACGTTCAGTTACACTGTAAGTGATACGACGCATCACTCTCTGCTACATACACTGACATTCTCATACGCCCAACAGATATTCTCAAATAGATACACACTCGCACACTACAATCCACACTCTACATTTCGAGAGCCTTAGGTATCTGGGTTACTATATTTTAGACTCGATTTGACCCGTTCTAGAAAAAAGGGACGCCTATTCAACCCCGCTTCAGTAGAAATGCTACTTTCTAGTAAGTTCTAATAATAAAAATGATACATTCTAGTAAAAAAGGATACGCCGGTACGTGAAGAGTTGACTGTGATGGTCATAAGTGTAGGGATGGTATGCAGCATCACACAGACGCCACACACACCGAGTGCGATGTAGGTGCCTATTGACAGGCGTGCTTATATCATAATTCAGATGAATGACATAGACGTACGTGAATGTACAATGCGACATCTTGTGGTGTGACAAGCGCTATAAATTATGCAGACGAGGATTGATGGATGGATGGATGGATGTGTGTAGGTAGATAGATGTAGGTAGCTAGGACGGATTTACGTATCTAGCATGGATGTAGGTGACTACACAGGCCAGTACATACACACCGTTGTCAGTGCAGGAGTATTGTCTCTGCTGCACCACCTTCAGCGACGTCTGACACACTCCGGAGACACCGTCGACAGAGCACGATGAATCCACAGTACACACTACACGGAAGTGAAGGTGTGAGTGACAGTCAGTTAGCAATACGTATGCCTCTCCCCACAACTACCATCAGCTGCAGTGACTGTATGATAAACCTCAAACCTCAAAAGGTGGACCGTTAAACCTTTAAACGTTTAAACCTCTAACCATAGTAATAGCTAGTGCAAACAGACGGGAGGTGTATGAAAGTGCCAAGTGAGTGTCATACAGTCGCATAGCACTCCAGTCCATCCATCGTCGCACGAACACGTGTTGCTCTCCGAGTCCAGCATACCATGCACACAGTCTGTAACGTAGGAGAATAGATAAATAGTGTTGGGCTGTTTTAGACTCATGAATTGTGTTTAGATGGTGTGCAGAACATATCAAAGTATATATGAATCATGCCGAAAAGTAGATAAATCATGTCTAAATATGCTTAACGTTTGATCAATCATGTCAATGTACAAATATTATATCCAAATGTACATACAACATGTCCAAAGGTGTTTAAACCAGGATAAAACATGTTGAATTGTAAATAAATTAAGTCTAAATGTACCTAAATTATGATGAATCCAGTCTAAATGTACATATATTATATCCAAATGAACATGAAACATGTCAAAATGTGTTTAAACCATGATAAAACATGTCGAGCTGTGGGTAAAATAAGTCTAAATGCACCTAAATTATGACTAATCCAGTCTAAATGTGCATATACTATGTCCAAATAAACACTAACCATGCCTAAATGTACATATATGATGTGTCAATGTACATAAGTAGATATAAACAATTGTAGCTTTCCGCACCCTCGAAGGTACATCACCCACAGATAGCTAAATATTTCGTCTTGGCAGAGTATAATAAATATAGCTCAGCACAATACTGACTTTAAGTTACGTGAAGGGTGTTTATAATTTCTAAAACCTTAAACTCTAAGATAGTATTCGAGGTGTAAGAACACACAGTGGATGTGAAACGACATGCGGAGCAACGGTTCTTACGACCTTAAGCTACAATGTACTTCAAAAGAGAGCCCAAACACTTCGCACAAACAGCAACAATAGATATTTACCCCCAACACACTACTGTATATTTGTTTCCATTCGATAACATTGTAAGGTACTGACACTTCGTTAAACGTTTACTCACCGAATGCTAGGCACGTTTCACCGGTGAATCCTGCTGGGCAATCGCAGGCTCCCTTTAAGTACCATGGAGAGCCATTCTTGCATTGCGCTGTAGAATCAGTACATACCACGATGAGAAATATCTCAATAAAATGTTTGATTGGGAGATTGATACATAAGAACATGAATGTAAAAATTTACTCGAATAAAGATACACAAATAGAGAAGTTCGCATGTGAAGACAATTCAAATCAACATGATGGTAAAATAAGCGGTTTCGTTATAAATACACAAGTGTATCGTGAAGAAGCACATATATATATCTACATATGGATAAAAGCATAGATTTATATATATATAATGTATA